CCCGTCCTGTTCAACCAACTTTTTTAATTGCATGTGATTTTATGACTTCCAAAGGTGGCGCTTTTTTGTAACTGAATTCAAAATAAGTATCATTTTCTAACCAATATTCCTGGATTTCGGTTTTTGAACTTGATGATGCCGGTACTTTGAGTAGCAGACGGGTGTGGTAGCTTAATACTCTTTGCGGACAACAGCAAGCAATTTGGGACAACTGCGTCTTCTGAGCGAGCGTGTATTATGCTGATGCTTTTTGCTTTATTTGACGGTGCTTTGGTCTGACAATTTTGAATATAATTAACCCGTCCCTTGGGCACAGTGTCGTGTGTATCGAACCATGTTTCATCAAAGTAAATTGTTTATGTGTTGTCTAACCTATATGTTTTAATTTTTTGAAGGTAATGAAATCTTCAAGTGCGTAATCTGTGTGATTCCTATCGACTATTTTGGGGTACTTAAATCACATTTTACAAGAACTCTATGGAGGGTGGCACGGTTTATATTTATATTGGTTTCATCTTCTTCTAGCTTCTGTTTCAGTTTATCCAAGGTAGGATAGAGACAATATATTTTCCTTCTTATTAGGTCCTGTTGACTATTGTTTATATTCTATATGGTGAGTTTGAAAATCACTACGTATATTCCTTTTCTTCAATATCGGTGATATTGGCGTTCTTGTAAGTAGACAGGTTTTTTTTAAAGTTTCTTGTTTAATAGGTCCTCTACTGATTAAAGTTTCATACACAATATTCACAACCTGTTTTGCATCAAGCAACAACAAATATATTTTTTTTTAACTCAAGAAATACATCAAGAAATATACCACCCCTGCGTCACTCAAGTTAGGATATTTTTTTTGTTAATGGCTTTACCAACTCACAATAGGTAATAACTTCGTTAAAGATTTTTTGGAGAGGGTCTATCGAAAGCCATCACGATGAAGATTGAGACAGACCATACCCTGTGGTTCTAGGAGAGGTCTTACACTACAGGCAAGACTCTTTAGCGGAAAATAAATTTTGAGGATGAGAATAATATTTCTTATAAGCAAGTTTTTACTAATTCTATCAATAGTATATAATAGTATATAATAGAACATTTGTGACACCACCTTAGAACCAGATGTGAGACCAGAAAACGTTCTTTCCTGAATAAGATAAGTGTACAAATTTCATTAAAAATGTAGTTACATTATCAATTAATCGTATACCTGTCGAGAGCTGGAAAATTGCAGTACAGCATTTTAAAAATTGAAGATTTTTGTATTTGTATACAAAATAATTATTCTTATTGACGGCTCTGAGAGTGACACTGAACTTTATATTTTTATAACACCTAAAAAGTCCGTCTCTGGTGCTCTGTTCTACAATATCAACTTGTCGCGTATTTTATTGACGTTGGCAGGTCATTTCAGAAGCAAATACGATATACTTTGAGAGCAAGTATACTTAACACAAGCATAAATCGAATGTTTAGAATAGCGTTAGGAAGAAATTATTATTTTTATATTTTATATTATATTTTATATTTTATATTATACATAGTAACTAATATGTATACATTTCTATTAAATCAATTCTTAACATTCCCAGGAAGACGAAATTATACCAGTCGTCGCCTCCGTTTTTTTGATTACCTTCAATACCATTATGCCAGAAACGATTTATCTACCAGTCCCCCAAAATCCGGCGATTCTCATTTTTTTTCTTCACGAGGCTAGGATCAGTAGCGCCGCGTAACGAAAATATCCATTGTAGTTGCTACTTCCAGTGATCTTAATTGGTAAGTTAAATAACTGTCATTCATAGATTCATAGATACAGAGTCATGTATTAAAACAATACAATATATTAAACAATATATTAAAACAATTTTTATTTATTAATTTATTTTTTCTACTCCCACCTGTAAAATATCTAATTATCCACCGATGTAAGATGCGGGAAGCGTCACTTTACCACGTCACTTTCATTTCCCATGAATGCGAGCCACTTCGGACATTTCCGGGAGTTTACCGCACGGATTTGGAAGTAATCGGATGTTTTTGGAGATATTTCCCACGCTTTGAATTTTGACGTTTGTCATTTCTGACGGTCATGTCAGTGAATGTATTCGTGTTTTGCGAAAATGTACCCAAAAACTAACGGTCGTAGAAAAAATATAACAAGTATGGCGTTCGGTAAACTTTTTAAGTCACTCGTTTATTAAAAACTCGCTCCGCTCGTGTCAAATAAATTCGTGAGTCAAATGCCGTTTACCGCACTTGTTGCATAATATACTCTTAATTATATTAAGTTAGAGCAATATGAATTTTTATTTGAAAGGCGCACCATAGAAAACCTGAAATTACATTTGTCTGTTATTTGAATCCATTTTAACAAATTCTAATTCTTCTGTCTTCACATACCTGTCTACATGACCTGTATACGTAGTAAATGAATATTCTTGAAACGTTCTTTGGAATTTTTATAGAATTTTTAGTGCCTAAGGAACATTAAACCCACACCACGCCACTGACTATCAGCGAAAATGTGATGATTTTTCGGGCGGGCCATAATGCCGTATCGATCCTCATCAATATTCATGTTCAGTGCCGTTTGAGTTTGTGTGTTTTCGGATTACTTTCTGAGTGGAAAACGAGAAATAAAAGATACCGATATCGATAAGAATGATTTAGTAATACTCCGTAAATGAGTGTTTCCTTTTGAGGGCTGTCACAGTGGAGCTCATAAATCTACGGATATTATGATCAATTTAAACAGTAATATCGGTTTAGACATCGAGAGCAGGAAATAGACACCAAAAATCGACGACATAAAAATGAACAATTTCATTTTTCTACTTGAATATAAATCGAAGCAAAAAATTGAGGCATTTTTATATTTACATTCATAGTTATTATAGTAATAGGGTGGTAGTCATAAATAATATCAAAACCAATTCCAGCATAGGTGACATCTAAGTTTAATCGATGCTGTAGCAACATTTCAATGTCAATGGTAAGCCCAGCTCATTACAATTTAAATTATGGAACTCCATATCAAAAATTTCAGTAGAACTAAGCTCCTGCCTTTTTAGTATAGATAGCAACAGAATGCGAAAACATGCCTTCGGTTCATTTATGGCATTCGCCGTAGAGAACCTTTCTCTCATAAATTAAAGGAAACGAAATGGCGGACTATGGAGAAGCGCAAAACTTTACACTCAGCTGAGTTGTGTCATAAAATCATTATTACAGATCGGCCATCGTATCTAATAATTAAAATTCGTTATCGTACAGATATGCACACTTTAATTTAAGATTTCGCCCTTATATATCCCCTCCATTTCATAGCATATTTTGTGTAAAAAATATTCCGCACCAACAGTTTTTTAAGTGATATTACATGAGTGACTTTTTTTTTGTTTTTTAACATACAGTTTTTTTTTAAGTGGACGTCGTATGAGTGACTCCTTTTTCCTTCCTTTCACATTAGTAGACATTACATATAGTTTACCTCGAACTAGAATCCTTTTAAATTGAATTTCGGCCTCCTTTTTACTTGTAAAAATGGTTATTAGATATTGATGCTGATTATGCAAATTATTATTATTATTATTATATATCTTTATTATCCCACATATTTTACTTACAATCAGTGTATTATGAATTTCGTCAAGTAGGTCTAAATTAGCTATTACACAATATAGATCCGGCTAATGAGACAGAAAACTACATTAAAAATTTATTTAATAAAATTTTTTTGAAAATTATTATTTAATTAATTCTTATTAATGCTACTTATTTTTTATTGTCTTCGTTACATGTATTATAGTTGTAAAAATTTCCGTTTATTTGTAAGTTACTTTTGTTTTTATGCACGCATAAACAAACTCCTAATATGTAAATACACGCTAAAGGCAGTATTTTAAGCTCCCTTAAATACTTAAGTATCTACAGCAAATAAATTATTATTATTATTGGTAAAACAATGGTGAATTATTTAAAGCAATGTTTCCGTGTCTTTGGATAAGACCAAATAAATATTATCTTCCCAAAAATATACCAAATGGTCTATAAGATTTTCCAATTATATATAATATATAGTTCCTTAAAGAAACGCAAATAATTTAATATCTTGATCTATGATAAGAAATAAACATATATTTAGCATAGTGCAATTCTGAATAGGATCCTTTTAAATGTAGTTTCAATGAAATAAATATATGATTATAAATTATTAATCTTGTGGTAAATTATTTTTCAAAAATGTTTACTTGGAACAAGAAGGAAGAGAGAGACCAGAAAAAAATTAAAAAGAGTCATCTTTTCTGCTCCATGACCTCTTGCGTTTGACATTGTTGTATACAACCCATTTTCGTCCCCAGTAATAATCCGCTTCAAAAATGGATCATTTTCTTGACGTTTGAGGAGCGAATCACACACGTCAACGCGACGACACAAATTTCACTCCGTAAGGACATATGCAATATCAGCTCTCAAGACATATAATGGTTATGCGGCTTAAGTGTGAAGTTGGTTTCGAAAAAACGTAATTAAGTCCTCTGACGGGAAAAAACGAAATGACTTTCCGAACAACCTTATATTTCCAAAATATAGCTATAGAATGCGCGTTCTGATAAAGGTCTGATATATAAGGGTCTTTTTAAAGCAATGAGATCTTAGCATATACAAATTTTAAACTTAACTTATCAAAATCTGCAACTATTCAAAAGGAGGATTTCCTCTCTACATAGCTTTAAAGTAATTCCATTAATACTTTTCTAGTAGCACCTTTATCTACATTATTATAATGAAAATACGTTGAAGATGCCGCTGGTCAAAACGCTCTCATTGATGGCAATCATCACCTTTTTTTCGTTAGTTACAAAACCAAAAAACCGGCAAGTTCTCAAAAGAAATGAACTCGAAATTTCAAACATTTGTACTAAATCAAGTGAATTAATATATATTGAAACGGATTTGTATCGCCATCTATACCGTTTTATTATCATCGAACTTACCGAGTAATCCTAAACGGAAGTTGAGAGTAACCACTATAACGTGACCGTACGAGGCCAGCACACTACCGTCATAAGGGTGACCCGCCCCCCACTCGAAACTTTCTCCGTGGACATAAACCAGGACTGCGTAGGGTGCTTCCAATCCTCTATTGCCTGAAACAAGAATAGAGAGAGAATTTTAGTTATTTTATTTTATGCCGTCTTCTGCTTTCTCCACACGTTGCCGATCAATAATCTTCGGTCAAAAGTGAAGATGCTTTGTAATTCTGTGATCTTTGAAATAATTACGTAATTTTAGACTTGTGAGTTATTCGACCAAAATATAGGTGACTAGGAAAATGGAAAATAAGATCAAAATAAAGTTGATCCGTTGCTATCGGTTGTTGCTGATGAATGCAAATCTCGTTCAGGGAAAATACATGCATTAACTTCAATATATCTAAAAAAAGTCACGGATCTTTAATTTAAATTAAGTTAGCCAGCAGTTAAAGATGTATAAAGATGTGTAATGGCCAGGCACTTGTTTGAAATTGGAAAATACAGTATAAACAGGAGCGCGCATTAACAGAATAGCGGTTACTCTCTCTGTCTGTATAAAATGACACGCTTAACCGGATACTTTACGAAAATCGCTGTCTATAATATTATGGAGTAATTGGCTTCAATTTGACTATTAACGACAAAAGAAGTTGAACTGAGGTGGCTTATACTTGATGAAAATCCATATATCAAAATAAATAAGAACTAAAAGTTCAGATTTTCACGGAATTATATATTTTGACGTGACAATTGTTTCGACAACACCGTGTCTTTATCAAATGTAATATTTACAAACTACCTGCTACTATATATACCGAAAAATTACCATAAAACTTTAATTAATGTTGTTGTGAGAATTTAAGTTCAATAAAGGAGATTAAGAAAATGAGACACGATCAATTAGATTTAATTCTCCTTTATTGAACTTAAATTCTCACAACAACATTAATTAACGTTTTAAGGACATTTTTCGGTATATGTAGTAGCAGGTAGTTTGAAAATATTATATTTGATAAAGGCATGGTGTTGTCGAAACAATTGTCATGTCAAAATATGTTATGTCAAAAAAAAAAGTTTATTTCAACAGAAACCAAGCATTTTTAAGTTTTTGGAGCATTATGGAGAGAAGGAAAGCAAAACTGTCTATTTATTTGGTACTGGATATGCAGGGCCAAATAAAAACCCGATAGTTGCCTTGAATCTACTATATTATTTACAAATATCAAAAACGTTGAGCACGGTTAGCCTAAAATTTTTTGAACCTTTCCACGGGCAAAGTGAAAGAGATTGACCAACATAATGTCACATTCAATATCCTTTAAGTTATCACATTGTGGTGAATTCTACAGATGCATTACCTTAAAAAGAACGCAGAAAAATCTCTTAAATTTACCTGTTCAAAAGCTTTATAAGGGAAGTCCTAAAGTTTCAGCTCTTAAATCAGTAAACATATAGCCGAAATCACATCAATGACGTCACGCGCGGTTTGAATTGAATAGAATGTTGACAGCCATCGTTAAACGCCAAGGCAACAAATTAAATAATAAATTATAGGCAAGAAGACATTTTTGACACCGTAGCATAACAGAATTCAGATATTAACTTCATTTCGTTATTATAAGCGATGTTATCTAAATAATGTAACAATGTGTGCAAGGGATAAATACTAAAGTTATTAAATAGCTATTTCCGTGCCGTTAAAATATCTTGCTATTTAATGACGCAGTGTTCATACAAGAAACGTTGCGGCATCATCGTTGCTCCGCACACATATCTAAATTGAAGGTAAATACATTAAATCCCAAGTTCGAGCGGTAACTAAATCTCGCTTTCGGGGACTAGCGGTTAATATGTTTCAAAACCGACAAATAACCTTTCTGAGCTGTTCGCCGTCTAGGATGGCGTTCTTATTTAAAATTCATTTTAAAACCTGACATACAGTACGTGCGTGTTCTTGAATGTAAATTTTTCATTTCTTTCTATTCAATATGCTGCCCTTCAATATGCCAACTGCCATCGCCCTTCTTTTAGCCTCTCAACAGTAGGAAAAGAAATATTGCAGGGTCCGCTATGCTCTTTCTGAAAGCTATTTGACTAAACAAACTTTGAATTGGAGAGCTTTTAATTCACCCAACTATTTTTTTCCTTCATGGTAACGATTGCGTGTTGATTAGCTATTTTATAATAGCTAAGAACGCGGACAATTCATAGTTCACGTTTTGGTTACACTTATAAAAGAAATATAACACTTAGATAACGGTGACTAAATTTTAGTCCCATATAAAACTTTTCGTCTAGCCAATAGCTACTCTCACTTGACCTGTGCATCAGACTGCATTAAGTAATTTAGATATACTACGTAAGAAAAGGAAACAAAGTTGTAAAAAAATAATAGCAAATCCGGTCTTGATGTCAATATCTCCATTCTATAATCACTGAATACAAAATTTGGATTAAATTGTAATCCTCGGTCCGTCTATTAAAAAGCAATGCTTGAACATCACTTTATATTTGCTACTTCTTAAATATAATGCAGTTTTATGTTCAGGAAGTATAATCTTATCTTTGGTTCTACTATGAATTAATTCTATTTTTAAAAGATTCGGAAATATGTTTTTTCGTGATCACAACTGGAACTGCAAAACTGTGGATGCTGTAGGATATCTGAGATGAAATGAATGAATTATGAAAAGGAAAAGTGCCAAAATAGAGCCTTGGGGAACGTCTGTGTTAGTGTTTTATATGAGATATAGTTAAGTTTAAAGACTGGTTTACTTAATCAAAGGTTTTTGAGTAATCCAGAAGAATAAGAATGCTTTCCTGTCCCTTATCATATGGCTCAAAAATATCGCTCGACCACTGCCGCCGTTTAATGTCTTTCATTTTCTTGCATTTAAAATGGCGATCATTTTTTAATACCATATTTTTGAGGAGCATGTATTCAAGTGCCAGATATATTTTTTTAAAAAAATCTTCCTTTTTTTGTAGGCTTCTATGTTAATTCGGAAAACAATAATGACCGCCACACACAAAAGATGCAATGTTCGAATGAGTCGCTTTTAAAAAGTTATAGTCATATATGACTTTTCAATTAATATTAAACCACTCGGAAGCTTTTGTAAAACTTATCTAAGTGCCCTAGAGCCTGATTTTATAAGTTACCAAAGAGGTATTTATTAAAGCTTTTGTAACTCGTATAAAACTAAGAGTATCTGGAAAACCAATTGAAAATCATTAGTAAGCAAATGGCAGTTATATTAATTAAAACCTCACTATTCAGTTGTTCTTGAAAGAAAATTGCTTAGTTTTTTTTATAAGATAAGGTTTAGAATTAAAGCAAACATGCCTTGTAAAATTCTGCAAGAGAAAGGAGTAGGGAAAATAGCACAATCTTTGACAGTCCATGGGAGACCAGGTTTCATACTAGCTCCAGACTGCTTACTACGTGCTTTAACATTTATAAGGATTTTACCGAGTAAGCTACAAAATCCCATGCGTAAAAGTGTTACAGTAACGCTATAAAGCCTTATTTAAAAAACTTGATCTAACATCATAATTTTATAGATGTTTCAAAAGCGTTTTGGACACAATGTCACAAAACTTAAAGGGTTTTGACATTTATTGGGCGTCCTACAAAATTTGTAACACCAATATAAAAGTATGAAAACTGTTATTGAAGCTAAGATTAGTCGGGTACTTTGGTTTTCGTCTTAACTCCACACGTTTCAAACACGCTCTCGAACCACTGCAAATGAGATTTCGATAAAGTTTTGCATTGCTTTTTTTGATATTTTTGAAAAACTATGAATTAATCATGGATAAAAAACGTTTTTTAGGCATCTTTCGGCCCTTGTGTTAAATTGCAATAGATATTGTCTAACAACAACAACAACTATCACCGAATCAAGCAAAAAGTTCCTGGTCGTTAATGGCGCAGTAATATCGCGGCAATTAAACAATATTCTCGGTCGTAAAACTAGAGCCGTGTTTTCGGATATTTTATCTAAATGCACTGGAGTTGGAACAAAACAAAACCGGTCTCGTTGTTTTGCCCATTTCCTCGCGGTTTTAATGTAAATGCATCACGGCAGTGAAATTACTCTTCATTTAGATAGCTTCCAACTGTTTTACTCAAAGTCTTTCTCTTGCGCCCCATCTAACGTAGACAAAAGACGGACATAAGTTTTTCACAATTACGAAAAGAAATTTTAGAATTCTCTCATTAAAACAGATTTGTTTCGATAAATTTTCTCGTTTTTAAAAGAAAATTGTAGTAATTAAATAACATTACCCACCATCTGAATGTTAACACAATCCTTTTGGAATGACGGTTTCGAAATTCATCCAAAAAACTATTTTCCTAGAAAATTTTATTTCAAATTGTAATGTTTTTATCTTATCTTATCTTAAAACAGACCAGACCTCAACTTCCAGTCTACATTGAGGTCCCGCAAGTCATCATGTAAATTGGAAGAACATTTCTGATGAATGCTTCACCTCGAATTTGGAGGAAAGCAATTTGATCCCAATCAACAGCCACGATCCGATGAATAAATGGAAAGTAGATGATAGTCATGACTGTGATTGAGGATACAATAAACAGACATTACAACACACATTGTACAGAAGGCCCGGTAAGGAAATTTCAACACATGTTCCAACTGCGTGATGTGGATATTTTTCAAATTGGTTGGTTGCAACTTTCGAACTATATTGTTAAACAAACTGCATCTGCTCATATTTCTTTTTTCTTTACCAATTTATTGTTTTACCACAACTTATAGTCCAATTAACTATTAGTAGCATGTTAATTGATTAGTTTAGTACATAGATGAAACTCTTTGCCTTATGCATGTGTTCTCTTTTTTTTGTTTGCTAACTGTTGATTGGTTGTAATAAATTGTAATAAATAAATAAATAAAAAAACTGGCCCAAAATTAACAACTTGCGTGAATTTTGCGACACATTAAGCGAGACAGCCCAACAAAGTATTGCTTTGTATTTTCATTCTGTCGTTGTTAATTAATTAATCAAGTAATTTACTGCGAACGCCAGACCGTTTTAATTACCGCCCAACAAAATATAAGATATCGTGGTTTGCGAAATCTAAGAGA